GGGAGAATCACCTCCCTCGACCTGCTGGCCATGCTTCTTTTGATGCAGCCCAGGATACGGTTGGCTTTCTGGGCTGCAAGCGCACATTGCCGGGTCATGTTGAGCTTCTCATCAACCAACACCCCCAAGTCCTTCTCCTCAGGGCTGCTCTCAATCCATTCTCCACCCAGCCTGTATTTGTGGTTGGGATTGCCCCGACCCATGTGCAGGACCTTGCACTTGGCCTTGCTGAACTTCATGAGGTTTGCACAGGCCCACCTCTCAAGCCTGTCAAGGTCCCTCTGGATGGCATCCCTTCCCTCCAGCATGTCGACTGCACCACACAGCTTGGTGTCGCTGGCAAACTTGCTGAGGGTGCACTCAATCCCACCGTCCATGTTGCCGACAAAGATGTTAAACAGTGCCAGTCCCAATACCGGCCCCTGAGGAACACCACTCATCACTGGCTTGCACAAGCCCCAACAGCATCTAGTCCTAGAAGACACCACAGGAGGCTGAAATCAAACCCCAGTCCTCACAGCTGTGTTCACTTCACCCTCACAAAACCCGTCCTTAAAGACACCCTGCTGAGAGCTAAAGTCTTCCTATTCCACCCCATTTTAAAACAGAAACACAAATATCTTTCACTCATAAGTGCGAGTACAAGAGAGCTGTTTCACTGGTTACAGGCAAAAAACAGACATCAAAAAACACTGAAAATTGCCACTAAAATCCATGTGCATACCAAGAAAGTGCAACCCTACCAGACAACGGGAAATCTGCACCAGACTTTCAGTGCCACCACAATCCGCAGCGCTGATGGAGCAGTCCCGGATGGCTTGTGGCCCTGCAGCCCACCGGGGCTGGCACCCATCACCGTCCCAGCAACAGAACCAAGGAGCTGCTCTAGGCTAGAAGCAGCTTTTTTGCCAAACTCATTTTAATTTGCATCAATTCCTTAATTTAATTCACAGAGCGGCCACAATACTCGCCCCACAAGGAAAGCTGTGGTGGAAGGGAGCTTAAAGCAGGCATGAAACTGGGGCCTTAATTACGACAGCAGCATTTCAGCTGGGAATGGTAAACCTCTTCAATAAAGCAAATAGCATTGCTGCATTTTTAACTAGAGTGGATAATTTCACTGGGTTTCTCCTTTTCTTCCAAAAAATTATGAGGCAAGATGGTGGAAATCTAGATCTTGAAATCACTTAGCTTACAATTTTTGCTACCCAAAAAAGCCTCTCCATGAGCAAGCCATGTAATCTGCAAATTATGCAATTCAAAGGCACATCATTATGGCAAAATGGAAACATCTTGTACAACCTCACCTCATCAAGAGGCAACAGACAGACAGCAAGAATCAGGTGTGGGGAAAACAAAAATAAAACTTGAGTAACTGATCTGTGCCCCCAAATGACAGGACTCTACTCCTTTTTATTCCACTAACTACATATTCTACATATTATTTGTCTACAAGCTCTGAATGTGCACACTGAGAACACTCAGGTTATTTTTGAAAAGTGACAGTAGGAGATAAAAAAAAAAAAAGCTTATGAGCTGCCGTCAGAATATTCTAAAAAATCTATTCTCTGCAGAAACACTCCCTCAGAAAGTAGCTGGTACAGCTTTCCCAGCCAGGATTCAAAGGGATTACCAGGAAGCTTCCAGCCATGGGCATTACACTGAATACAGGTGTTTCCTAGCCACGTTGATACAGAGAAAACTGTTTAAGAAATTGTTTTTCACTGGATAGGAACCAGGTGGCACCTGTCCATTCTGAGTGGGGCCTGCACAGCCCCACAGCACTATGCGCACCACACACCCTGAAGCAGTGATAGCAGAGCAAGATCTGCACCTAATGGTACTTCACAGATGAAGTTATACATTATACAGTTATAAATTATGACAAAAAATAATGCTTCATGCCACGCTTGGTTAACTGAGCAGAATGGAGCACTTCATGTCTGAGTATTTCAGGCCTTTACTTGTTCCAGCATCTCTATTATTCAGTTGTTGCATCTTTGGCTTTTATTATACCTCCTTTCATACTTTACTGCTTCAAAACTGCTAATTTATTCTCTTGTATCATAAAAATCCTAATGTATTTTTCTGACTTACTTCAAAGCACTGTTTTCTACCAGTTGGTCTCACAGTGCTTATTTTCTCTATCTTTCTTCTTGCACCTGCTTGTTGAAATGTTTTCTTTCCCCTCCTCCCCCCCCCAGTTCCCAAGAATACAACCTCCTACTATTCAGCAGAAATGCGTTAAAAGGAGTATATGGTGAGAGGGAGCTAAGCATTTCTGCATGTTCAGTTAAATCAGAATGATTCATAAATTAAGGGACTATTTTGGATCTGCTCTCTTAGGTAGCACAGGCCCTCATATTAAGTTATGCATCAAGAGCAGGAAATGCATTTGTCCTCCTTGCAACCTCCTTCGGCCTCTGGTTACTGTTACAACCTCGTGGTCATGGGGAATGAGAGCTAAGAAGCATTATTGAGGTTCAGTGGATTCTGTTGCTCCCTTTGTGTAAATAAAGCATAGAAAAACTATGCTTATATTCTCTCTAAAGGCAATGCTTCTCCCCAGGCAACGCAACAACCTGTCTGAAACTCCTGTAAGGAAGATCCATAGTAAAAGCAAGGATGTGAATATAGACTACGATTAATCCCTGTATAATTTTATCTGCCTGCTCTGACTGTGCTTAACCCCTCCATCACTGTATAATTTTCAGATCTGCCTTCATAAGACAAATCCCTTTCACTGCTGTCTATAGGATGCCGCATTTCTGCCTGGATGGACAGATGTCAAAGCTCAGTCGAAGTCTGGTTCTCTGGCCAAACTTCCAGGAGTCAGACAGCCAAGGGGAGAAATCCTCAAATTTTACTACTTCAATATTATTTCTGGGTGGAAAAACTGGATATTTCCAGATTTTTTTGAATGTCTGGTAGTTCTGTCTTTGGCTCCTTTTGAATTGTTACCACCCAAGCATTTTGAAGAGCATCTTCAGCATTCTGGATCCAGAGAAGACTTGCATATTTCTGGCCTATATCTTGTCTGTCCTGGGCTTTATAAAAGTAATAATTTACGTGGCATGACCTACACACCCTTTAACTGGTAGTTATAATACCTTTAAAAGTGAAAATGTGACTTAAAAAAGTGCAGTCCTGCATTTATTTCAAATAAGTATGCCTGTAGACAAGTGCTGTGAACATCAACTAACAAATGCACTTCAAAACTATCTTTTTCATATTACTGCTATTCCACTCTTGGAGCTCTCTTGAACATAGGCTGATTTTCACCTAACACAGAATTGTGTTGAACAGTGCATTTTATTGTATGCACAACTGTCAAAGACTATTAAGGACAGATTCAGCCAGTTAATTTCTTTTTTTTTTTTTTTTTTCTTTCTTCACTTTTGACATTAGAAAGGACACAAGCCTAGGTCTCCAGAAGTTGAAAGAACAGAGCTAAGCTCTCAGCCAAAATGTGTCACATACTGGCACTTAAATAAAACCAGATGACTCAACAGAAGACATTGCTTCATAGTTTAAGATATCTCACTTCTTGGCTAATGTAACTTTCAATTGTTTCTTTTTAATCTGACATTATACGTATATATGCATATTCTTTTTGAAAACTATTTTAATAATTTATGAACTTTGTTGTTTTCCAAGAAACCGGTTTCAATATAGTATTGGGTCTTCGTACATTTGGAATACATTCCAGACAGAACCACCACAGCCAATTTTTTCTTCACTTCATCTTCAAAACATAACTCGTATCTACTAAGTTTGAAAAAGTCTTGACTTTGTTTCATTCTCAGTATAATTCATTGTGAAAGATTTGAGTATTTCAAGCTTTTTACAATATACTTAACCATCAGCACTTATACTCTACTTGCTCCAAAGCTTTCTACATACATAATACAAACTTCGGATTAAAATAAAGTCTTATAATTACTATTCTGTAACCCGAAATTACATTGGCACATTTCCCTAATGATTTAAAAACATTCTTCTATTGCACACGGACAAATTGTTTTCTATACATGCTTCCATTATATTTTCAACATTTCAGCACGTGCTATTTATTTTTGAACAGCAAATAATATTCTTGTGTTTTGAGACAAAGCTTGACTAATTTATTTATAATTACCTTTTTCTGTTCCCTGTAATGTTTTTTAATTTAAAATTTTGAGAATTTTAGGAGTTTTGTATCAGGTTCGTTTATTGAAAGGTATTTTCTCCTGTTTGCTCTCAAGTCCTCAGCTGGCAGACTCATCCCACGATAGCATATTACAGTGTCACGTAAGGAAAAGGCAAATACAATCTGGATCACAGTTCATATCTGATAAAACACTGCAGCTTCAGTAACATCAACATTATTCCAAAACTAATTGTAAAGAACCACAACTCCTCTATGTTATGTTTTAGGGGCAAATACTCCAGAGCCTTCACTGAGGGCAGCTGGTGCCATAAAGCACTTACCCCCTCTCAGTGGTGGTGGCAGTCTACCTTTATGAGAACGCTCACGGACAGTCTCCTACAGCGGTAGAAATTACTGAGATTTCTCATGTATTGACTGCCACTGGCCACTGCCCTTCATCAGAGGAACAAATCTTGGCTCTCCAGCAGAGACTGGACAGGCTCTGGTAGGTTCTCCAAAACCCCGCTGCTAATCACGTCCAACCCATAACAGGACAGAGCATGCATAATCATACTGATGTTTATTATTAAAATATCTATGCAAAAATAAAATTTATCTTACCAAAAGGAGGAGACTCTCTCCCATCTTCTAATCCTGAATCTCGCTCTCTGTCTCTCTTTCTGTGTTTATGTCCACGGTGCCTATGGCGACGGTGACTTTTTCTTCCACCCAGTGGCACGTGAACTCCAATGAACAATGTTCGATGGCCTATAGGTAAAAAAAGCTACCTTTTAAAAAGGAGCTGTGGCAACATAATAACAAGATTAATAACCATAATAGCATTAATGGTATAATAATTATTATAACTGTGTAATTATATAATATTGATTATTCTAATGTTAATAGTCATAACATTATTGATTACAATAATTATGATGTAGCGTCGCAGACATACAACCCCTTGATACAGGACAAAATCCCAGTATTGAAGTCCTTATGATTCAGTGCCAGATTTTTTTTTTTCCTTCAAATTTGCATCTCTGTGTGTGAACTTTCATTAAAGTCAGACAGGTGTTCTGTAAAATGTCTTCCAAAACAGTAACATGAACAGACACATGGATCTCTTTGCATTGAACATTTGGTAAAGTTGCTGTTTGCTTTGTGTATACAGGAACTTTAAAAAAGTCATTGCTATTTATGAGCCAAACCTTGACAGAATTCTTGTGGGAAATTCACTGAAGGGAAAAGAAAAGGGGGGGGGGGGGGGGGGGGGTGGCGGGGGGAGAGACTGAGAAAACAATAAAACGCTATGGAAGCTAGACTGCAAAATCCCTATACAACTTTATGTGCTCACATCATAAATACATTGCTAGTACCTTAAGGTGCTTTCATTTCTTCTATTTTATTTTTTTAAATACATAAGAAGGTACACATTGCCATGCCTGCCACCATCTTTGAGGCTGAGGAATTTTATGTTGCTGATCAAGCCCAAAAGATTTAGCTCTCAGCTACGTGGGCTAACAGGATCAGAACACAGTAAAGCATTTAGAAGGGGGAAGGCACAGGGGAAGTGTGCAGAAAGTACCACAAAACAGAACAAATGGGAAAGGAATCATGACTCACTACAGGCAGGTCTCCTACAGTTACTCAGCAGAAAGACACAGTCCAGATTACTCATCTCAAATAACATTTATTTTCTCCTTGAAATGAGCATAACACAGCTAGCGGATAATTGCTGCTTTGCTGTAATCAGTCAGCAGTGTCAATCATCTGAAAAAGGTCAAGAACATTAAACTAAGGTAGCACGTGATCTCTAATCCCATGGAGACTCCAGCGGGGGCAGAAAACACAGCAAGGCAGCATTTGTCACAATGCATCAAAGAAATTCAAGGCTGACAAGAATTCACTGCAGAGACAGAGCTAAAAAAGCTGGAGAAAAGGCTCTGGACACCACACTAGTTACTTCCTCAACTTTGATTCATGTAGAGGAGACTAGAAAGCAGAAGCATCAGTTTTTGGGAGACTATTCTTGTAGGGTCAGGAGATTTTTCTGAAGCGAAGGCCACAAGTTGAAAAATTTTTTTTATTATTCATTTTTTAGATACCGCTTTCTTCTTGCTTATGCATTTAAGCCAAGAAGTTATTTAAAGAGAACTGCTGCCTTTGGTGTATTTCAAATGTATTAAAATCAGTGGTGCATGAAACAAGGCAAAATGTATTCCATAAAAAGAATTCATTAAAAAGATACTAAAGGACAGCAGTAATGTAGTACTCAACACTTCCTTGTCCCCTTCCTTGGGTAGGAAAAAAACCAAAACATTTTTAAAGGAACGGGGTTACCCTTCCTAAGACTTTAATAATTTCCAGAGGTGCAAATAGATTGCTTTTTTAATTTAGTAATTTAATACATTC